CACTAACAAACAAACAAACAAAAAACCCTGGCTCAGACGGTTTCACTGGCGAATTGGACCAAATGTTCAGAGAAGAATTGACACCAATCCTACTCAAACTATTTCAAAACAGAAAAGGATGGAATCCTCGCAACTTATGAAGTAACAATAACCTTGATACCAAAACCAAACAAAGGCATCATTCAAAAGGAAAACTATAGCCCAATATCCCTCATGAATATAGATGCAAAAATCTTCAGCAAAGCATTAGCTAATAGATTCTAACAACATATATTAAAAAAATAATTAATTATCACCAAGTAGGGTTCATACCAGGTATTCATGGATGATTCAACATTAGAAATACAATCAATTTCATCCATTACATAAATAAAGGAAAAGAACCACATGATCATTCAATTGATGCAGGAAAGGCATTTGACAAAATCCAACTCTCATTTCTGATAAAAACTCTCCACAAAATAGCAATAGAAAGGACCTTCCTCCACATAATAAAGGGCTAGGATTGTGCCTAAGGCACTTGACTGCTAACCAGAAGACTGGCGGTTCAAACACACCAGCCACTCCTCAGAAAGAAGGTTGGGCAATCCTACTTCTGCAGTGATAGTGCCTCAGAAACACAAGGAGGGGTCGCTATGAGTTGGGGCCAACTCGACAGCACATAACCACAACATGCAAAACTAACAGCCAACATTATCCTCAATGGAGAGAGATTGAAACCATTCCCCTTGCAAATAACAGGAACCAGATAAGGATGCCCTCTATCACCACTTCTATTCACCATTGTATTGGAAGTCCTAGCCAGGGCAATAAGGCAAGAAAGGGAAATCAAAGGCATCCAAATTGGTAAGGAAGAAGTCAAACTATACGTATTTGCTGATTATATGACCCTATACATAAAAACCCAAGAGACTCAGCCAAAAAACTACTGGAACTAGTTGAGAGATTTAGTATAGTGGCAGGGTACAAGATCAACAGACAGATATCAGTTGGATTCCTCTACATCAGCAAAGGAATTGTTGAAAAGGAAATGAGGAAACTAATAGCATTTACAATAAAGCAAAATGCAACAATAGCTACACCCAAAATAAAATACTTGGGAGTCAGTCTCACTAGGGATACAAAAAACAAGTTCAAAGGAAACTACAAATCACTATTCCAAGAAACTATAAGACATCTACACAAATGGAAGAACATGCCATGCTTATAGATAGGAAGATTGGACATCGTGAAAATGTCGATATTACCCAAAGCAATCTATACCTTCAATGCAATCCCAATCCAGATCCCATCAGCATTCTTTAAGGATATGGAAAAACCAATCACTAATTTTATATGGAA